GGCCCGTTTACCTTTCCCTCCACGTGTAGAGGCCTCACCTTGTAAGTCTGGCACAACAAAGGAAGATAGGCTCCCCCTCCCCCCTCTCCCCACCTTCTAGGAGATAACAGTCCAGCACAAAGGGGGAATATGACCTATGACCCTGAAGGGAAGAATGGATGAAGGCAGACAAGAACAGCTACATTTTTACCCATCTAACTTTTTGACTGGGAATTGATTTATGGACCGATCTGCAGTGCAAGGCAATAAACAACCTGGAAATAATCTTATTTATTTAAGTAATCCAATAAAAACAAAAGGCCCGGTTGCCTAATTTAGAGTGCTGGGAAGATATGGAAACAGGAGTGGCATTAGTGTGATTGATAGTAATGGCCCGGATACTATATTTAAACATTTTAAATCGCTCACCAATTGTGATTATTAGATCACTGATTCATTCTCAGATAGACTCATTTCACAATAAGGCTCGACATGATCTGATTAATACGTTTTTTTGTTTTTTGTAAAAGGGTTGCAGAATGTGGGTCATTATTGGAATGCAATGGCGATGCTAGAGCAGATAAAAGATCGTAAACTAGAAAACAGGTTAGTAAACTCTCCATAGGGCACCACGTGTGGTCTCTAAAGGGACATTGCAGTCATTTAGATAGGGGCATTTAGATTGTTGAGCAACACGCAGCGTGTCTTTCGGACTTTTGTTGACGAGGCCACGCCTCTGCTTTGCTGCAGCTCGGTGTGCAGTGTTGACGGCGGCTCGCCTGAATTTATTTCGCTCGGAGACAGCGAGAGAGAGAGAGAAACAAGAAGGAAGGAATAAGGCGGATACCGGTGCCCTCGCGCTCTATCTCCCTCCCTCCCTCTCTGCAGTTTTAAAGAAGACGCCCCCTCCCAGCACCTGCTCTGCTTCGTCTTCTCGCCGTCTCACAGGAGTTGAGTGGACGTCGCTTTTCGTTGTTTAGACGCTGTGTGTGTTGTTCTTTTTTTTTTTTGGAGCATGACTTCGCCGTACAACCTGGATTTCCTCCCTCTCACCGAAAGTCGGTTAATGACTTCGAGCGACACAATGTAAGTAAATCAGCTAAAGACATGTGCCGAGTTCTCGCCTCGCCTCTTCAACATCGTAAACACAGACTGGCATTTTTATTTTTTTTAAGCAGGCGAGGCGAACAAAACAGTTGAGGGCTAGTTGAGTTAGCTAACGCTAGCTAAACGAGCAAACTGGGATGCTAACGTTGCTAATCACGCAAGCGGTGAGGATACGCTCACCTGGAGTTTAAGTTGCTAGCTTAACTTGGGTAATACAGGCATGTGACCACAATAAATTGCAGTTAAGTAAAGTGTGGCCCTGCTGCTAATCTCTTATCTCGTCACTTTGAGTGGAAACGCAGTTTGCTAACAGCGGTACCCGACGCTTGGGCGCGCTACAATAGTCAAGTGACATGTGCTTCCGGAGATCACACGTTCAGTATCAGTCCAGAAAAAGAAACCACGTAGCTTTAAAAAATATGCAAATAAATAAACATGATGCCCATTTTGTGCCCTTTACGTTGCATTAATTACACAGACATATTTTTTGGTTGTTTGTTTTTGCTCTGACTTCGGGTTACTTCGTTACAGCTGATCAAATTCTCATTTGAAGTGCGGTCGATCGAAACAAACGGTGGATGTTTAGACGATCAATTGTCGGGCTTTGAAAACAAGCGCTTTTGGCAGACGAAGTGTGAGAAGTTGCTTTAAAGTTCCATAACACTATATGTCGTTGCCAAGCCGTTACTAATGTGACTTCAGTTTCTAAAGTCCAGCAGCGTGCGTGAGCCTGTTTGCAGGCAGGATACGGCACACTTACTCCCGGTCCCTCCCTGTCTCTTGCTAGCAGCCGAGCCTGCTAACATGGTTAGCTGCAGCTCACATGCATTTGTACCCCCTTCCTCCCGTCCATGTTGGTTATAGAGTGCTGACTTAACGATAGAAAACACGTGGTTTGCTACATTATTGAGCCATTAATGGAAATCTTGTGACGGGGCATGTAAACAAGTGGGAGGAAAGGTATTTATAAAGTACAGAGGACCATATATAACTCCCCACCCCGAAGGTAGTATCGACACAAAGTCAGCTAATCCTGTTTGACAAAAACATTTCCAAAATCACCGCCTGCTTTACGACACTATTTAACATTTAAATGTTTGCAATTCCAGCAATGCTCTCTGTAGTTTGCAACAAAATGGCTGTTATTGCATGGTCTCACAAATGAGGAAACTCAACAGCTGAACAAGGATTCTTTAAATGTTTTAATCACGTTATCCTTTGCTTGTTGTGCTTTTTGTTTTTTGCTCTAGAGCAAACTATAAATTAAAAAGATTAAACAAGAAAATATTTTTGCTTCTAGTCTAAAATGTTGCACTATTTCTAAATGATTTGCTGATTGGGTTGTAAAACGCTGTAAAACGTGGCCTTTTAAGCTTTTAGAAACTTTTTAAACGTGCCAGTAAACTGCAAATATTTACATTTGTGGCTTTGTGCGTTATACAAACTAAACTGATATACTGAGGATCAATGGCCATTTATGTGACAGTGGTCGTTGTAGTTCCACCTTTTTGATATCCTGTTTTCTTGTGTAAAATAATGTGTGAATATTGTAAGGGGTTTTCCCCCACTAAATAAATTTCCCTCCATCCATTCTGGGCTTGTGCCAAAGGAAAATGACCAGGGATATGATAAGAAATAACCAGTTCAGCCTTTTTTTCTTTTCTTTTTTTTCTTCTTTTTGTTTGTCTTTTGTGACTATGTTGACTGCATCTTGACTGAGTTGATTGATTTTTGTCTAATTGTTGACAGCGAGAATGGCTTTCGGGGCTTAAGCATGATCCTTTGGCAGCCGACACTGCCATAGTGCTATGTCAGTTAGCTAAGTGTCACAGTGATCCCTTTTTGTTGCGGTCAGGGAGTTGTTGATCTGTGTGAAGTCTCGGATCTTGGCGCTGAGTTGGATGGCTGCTCGGGCCAATTGTTCACTCTCCTTGCTGTCAGGGTGCTGGTGGATGAATGCCCTTGTAGCCAGATGTTAAAGGCCAAAAGAAGGACCACTCTGATCTGGATTGTTTTTTTTTTTTTGTTTTTTTTGCTGCTGTTGCTGCTTGCCTTAGCATGACAGTAACTGCAAGCCTGTCTGTCCTGGAGCCACAAAACACTCAGTGAGATCCTCTATCTCCACTGTGGGGTGGTGTGATCGAAGGTTGAGCAAATTCTTCTGCAAGCTTTGCAAACAAAAGACGTTGAGGCACAGAGTGAGTTGCATAAGACCACAGTCACCCACTATGTCCATGACTCTATCAGTAGTTGGCTCTGAAGTGATTAACAAAGAGGTAAGAGGTCTGTTTAAGCAGAAAACTATGGGATTAGTTAGAGTAATGGATTAGATTGAAGGCATTTGAGAATTACAACCCTCATTTGGTACAACCCTCATCTTTTGCATAGCATTGAGTATCTGTGCTTTAGATAGATCAATCATTAGCTTATAATTTATCAGTGATCACAGTGCAAGTTTGAATTTTGTGCATAATTGGAAGCCTTGTTTTAAAGTATTGTTTCTTCAATGTGCAGTATTTTCTGCAAACTCTCCATTTAAGCCTGTAGGGGTGAAACTGAGACTGAAACGGAAACACGTCTGCAATATTGTACAACGATAGTGCTATTAATATTAGTTAAACCATACTAGTGAAAGCTGATTTTTTTTCAAGATCATTTCCACAATTACTGAAGTGGAAATGTTTACATTAATGGCGTGTGTGGGTTTTGTTTTTGTTTTTTAGTTCATGAGAACACACAAAAAAGCCGTATTCACCCATTCCCAAACCAAGGTATGGGCCACAATGGTACAGTAGTTGCTCCAGTTATTGTTGCAGTTAAAAAAAAAAAAGAAAAAAGAAAAAGTAAAGCATTGAAAAATAATGGATTTATCTGATCAGCTTTTAGTGTGGAACTACTTTTGGTGGAAAATATCGCAATTATTGCAATAACACTAAGTGCAATAATCTTTTCTGGCATCGTTGTATTTTTACTCAGTTGTATATAGCATTTGTATTCTATTTTTATCTTATTGTATATTTTATTCTACTGTATATAGTATTTTATTCTATTCTGTACAGTTGTGTACTGTATTTATTCTTATTGTATTCTAATTTTTGCGTCATAACTTTTGCACTGTCCACTTCCTGCTGTGACAAAACAAATTTCCCACGTGTGGGACTAATAAAGGTTATCTTATCACACTGACTAAATTTCTTAAAACTAAAAGGAGGACTTATTGAAGTGTGGGACAAAAAGACGTCTGGCTAGTTTGTACATAAATAAGCTAAAGCTCAGTTAAGCAGACTAGCATTTCTAGTACCAAGGCAAATATCTGTTAGTTCAGACATGTTCCGACATCTCGGGACAGCCCTGACAAACGCTGGCACCTTTCTCCCAAGCTTCTGCAGTATTTTAATTTAAAAAAATGAGCAGTTGTACTCGGACTGTCAGTGACCTGATCTAACCACTGAAATTGATGTGACTATATTCTGTAACTAATCTGACATGTGTGACATTTCAGTTATGGGCTTTTGGTAACTGTTTATCAGATAGCTAGAAATAACAGGAAGATGGTCTTGTCCCAGCAAAGGTAACAATGCCTTATCTATATGTGGAACGGTTGAGCTTACATGCTCCTCCTCAGAGGCCCATTTTGAACAAGGAAGAACCCTGAACGGGTAATTCCCCATCCCACGTAAGCAGGAACATCAGTAGTAGCAGTGCATTTGTGTTCGACCTTCTATGCTCTATTTTGATGATGATGATGATGATAATTTAAAAAGAAAAAGAAAAAGTAAAAAGAACAGGTTGGATAATTAAAACGAGTTTTATCTCAATCAAAGCTGTTCTGTTTTCTGTTACAGGTTAGTGTAATGAATGTCAGAGTAAGTCACCACATTCAGGCAAATTGATTGTGCTTGATTGCTGCATTTAGTTGGCTGTTGGTCTCTTCACTTGAGACTAATTGCTGACGCTCCGTCTGACGCTAACTGAGGAGAGTTTGTAGTTGCTCGTTTTGACTGTTCATGCAAGCTTTACTTTAGCATCGCCATCTATAACCGCTGGGGACTCTTGGTGTGATTATGTAGCTAATGGGGCGGGCCTTGTCATCAGATGCTGGCCGTCTGTTAACACGCAGCCCACTCAGAGGCTGATTGAACACGTCCGTCTTCATCAGGGCAAATGCAACAATGAAATTAGGCCATTTTGAGCTGAATTGGAGTTAATGCCAGGAGGAAAAAAAATATTTCAATAATTTTCTCATCAGAACCACAGTGTGCTGATTAGGTCAGCCACTTGGTATGGAAATCAAATGACACACAGTTCTCCTGTTTCTGCCTTGAAGTTGTAAAACAATTTTTTGTTTGTTTGGGACCAAAAAACAAGGAGTTGTATTGATTTTTGATAACAACAGTTATTCTGTAAATCCTGTTGTCTGTGGCCAGTCTTTTAAGTTGCATCTTCAAGCTGTCAGGAGTTTTTATTTATTTTTTCCCAGGCTCATTATACTTTATTGAAGCTATCAAAGAATATTCTGCCTTTTTCTTTTTTTCTTTTTTTCTTTTCTCCTAGTGTTAGGGAAAATAAATGGAGTTGAGCGAGAGAGAGAGAGAGAGACTTTGTTCTACTTGACAGCTGTCAGAGATATTACTGAGGCATTAGAGGCATTCTGTGTCTCATTGAATCAGCTTATAAGGCCACTGGTTTCCTAAAAGGAAAAAACGGCTCACGATTTTTTTTCTTTCTTTAAGGGTATTACTAGCAAACAGCTGTTTCAGTCGACTGATTTCTCTCTTTTCTTTGAAGCAGCATGTTCTCTGTGTGAACCTTGACTTTATTTTATCCCCAATAAAGTGTTAAAGTGGCATGCTGCTGATTACCAGGTGATGAAATGAGTTTGGTCTGTCATTTAAACGGGAAGAGACTCATGGCAATTTGTAACATGTCTTTAGTAAGACTTGATCAATATTTTTATTAAAGCAACATTGTGATGGTTTGACATTGAATGTACCACGTTAGTGATTTTCTAGTAATGATAAAATGTTAGCTGGTATTTATTTTTAATGATTGATAATAGCAGGCAGTGAGATTGGTTTCCATCAGCAATGGTGGGGGGGGAAAAAACTCTACATCATGTGACATTTGGTGTTGCTGTGACCCTCCTGAGGGTTTCGGAATGAGTAATGTCCACAACCACGAGTATAACCAGGCAAATTGGCTGGCCTTCTATTATGGGCACCGGAAAAGGTGTCGCTGGCATACTTGCGCGGTCAGAGCTCACCAACAGGACAGACACATGGTCTAGATAAATCACCTGTTTTTATGGGTGGCGCAGCAGTGGGCATGCAACTGCCGTGGCTCTGGATGGCTCGTCAGCTGCTGCAGGGTGTCTTGGAGCGCGACGAGCTGCCACAACGCAGGGCTGTTTGTGGAAGCTCAGCAAAAGACTTCATCACTGCCGTCTGGAAATACTCTGGCAGGTGGTGCTGGGAGCAGAGCTGGGCGGTACTGACAGAATCAATTGCAGTATTTATTTTAACCGGTACACTTGGAGTAAAGTATCGAGATTTTGTGTAGGTCTAATAGTTTAATACAATGTTTAAGTGTCTGACATAACTAGCTTATTATAGTTACAGCCAAAAACCGAAACCATGTCTGAAAAGGCATCAAAATAGAAACTTGACTCTGAGAAGAAAAATAAAACTTTGTACTTGGTAAATTAAATAAAATGAATATATACAGTGAAGGACTTTGAATTTAGTCTTGTCCCAGTTTGATTAAATTTTTCCACACAACATACCTGAGGTGGTCCGCCTGCTGAGGCTTGGGATCACTACATGACAAAGTCAACAACACCCACAACATTGTCTTATATTGCATGTTTTGAACTTGATAAATTTTAGTGAAATTCAGCTCGGCCTCTGCTTGTCTCAACAAACACACAGATAACAGCAAAGATGATGGCGTCATAGGTGCAATTTACACTTGAGCTGCAACCTTGAGACGGCAAACAAAAATTGTTTCCCGTTTTCACAATCTAAAGCTGTGCAACACAATCAGAAGTGGAAAAAATGTTTTTCTTCTATCAACAACCAACTTGTTTTAAAACTGTGTGGCAACAGTGCATGTTAAACAAGTTGTTTAATTTGCCAAGATCTTCAAAACTGTCAAAAGCTTTGCAGCAGGCTGACAGCTGCACCACCCAAATTGCAGTAGCTTTGAAAAAACTTGAGTTTTGGCGATTCACACAAATCAAAATGTACAATGAGCCTGAGAAACTTTTGATCTTGGGGTGGTCAGTGTTCAGGTTGACACTTTGTAATCTAAAGCAGGCTGGATGATGTGATCAATAAGTGGGAAAACACAGCTGCTTATGTAGATATGCTGTAGATAATGGTGTTTGCTGTAGATTTTGTCATCATAAGGTGAGCACGTGGCTCTTGCTCTTTGTACGTGGCATTGCATCAACTTTGCGTTTACCCTTCATCCATATTTCTTGTGGACTTCAAAGGAGTATAACAGGAATAACCACTCATCTGTGTCTGCACCTGTCTCTGTCCACAACATGGTTAAAGAGCAGCTTAAGATAGATGATCTTCTTCTGGGTGCTCTGACAAATTCAGAGCTATTTACCATTTGTAAGTTGTAAAATGGCACATCCTTGTAAAATCTACATTTAAAAGCGTTTTTATTTTTGACGCTGTAGCTGCCCAATGAATCAAATTTTAACTCCAGTTACTGTTTTGTTTGGCTTTCAGTCAGTATTAAAACAAGGTAATTGGGATTAAAATGCCTATTGTCACATTCGGTTTAACAAGTATGGTCTTGTTTGGTCTTCAAGTGCCCCACTTTTTGCTGCTCCCAGGGCCCAAATTGTCTGAATGACTATTTAAATGGAAAAAATTATGCTATTTTTTTCTGATAGCATAATTGTGTTAAATAATCATGATTTTAATTTTTGCCATAATCAAGCAACCTTAATTAGCATGGTATAAACAATGTTGCTGTGCCTGTCATACCGATAGCAGTAATTAAAGTTACAAAGTCTGTCTGAATGTCTTGATTTTTCTGGTGTTGCTCCCACTACAGTAAAGTTGATGAAATTTGAATATGTATTTGTTTTTCAAAAAAAAACATTTAGGAAAAAAATGCCAACAGTGGTATGTCTTTACTTAATGCCCCAGCTCTTCTGACCTTATTGGACCCACGGTGAATGGATATCAGCTACATGTTTATTTGGGTTTTATACCAACAGGTTTTTGTTTTGCAAAACAGCTCTGCAGCATATGACATCACTTTAAACTGGTTTATACGTGCAAATGTAAATACTTAGTTCGCAGCAGTCACCTTTGTAATATTCATAGGTGACTATACAGTTGTCAGCTCGGTTATGCTGTATGATGCAACATCTTGAAGCAGACAGTTTCATAATAGATTTTGTTTACTTGAATTTTACTTCCTTGAGTATATATGTGTATACTAAAAATGCAGCAGAATCATGCCCGAAGAATGTAATCTCACAGTCGCATAGCAGAAGAGCTATGCACAGCTGCAGTGGCTTTGAGAGTTTAATGAATGTAAAGGAGACGGTGTCATATGCAGCCTTCATGTTTTTGAATTCTGACACAAATCCAGTATTTTCAAGTGAGGTTTTCTCTGTGCTGTGAGATCTGAGCAAAGTGCCTATGGCAAAATGGCGTCGGAATGCCACTGGCAGAAATGGACAAATGGTGTCACACACCAGTACTGTGGCCTTAGCAGACGTAGCCTTCGACGTGTTCCAGTGCGTCTGTATGACTTGGTCCATTGTGCCGCAGAGGAACGGTGAATAGTGTTCTCCGGCATGGGGGAACAATATGTGATTGTTCCCCTGCTGTGGCAAAGAAGCTGTAGGTTACTCTCTGTACCATCGCCAAAGCGCCTGAGGAGGAGATGCACTGCAAAATCTCGGCCTGCTAACCACCGATTCTTGGAAGTTTAGAGCTTTGCGGTGCTGTTTTTGAGTAGCTGTTACATGCTAGTGGGAGGGGCCACAATCCCCTCTTTTGGAGAAGAGGTTTTTGTTTCACAGTAGTTCCTTTTGTTTGTTTTTTTTTGTTTTGTTTTTGTTTTTTTTCTCTGGGAAAATTGTTTGTCATCATTCAAATGTATTGAAAGCCTTCAGAGGGAAGGGGCAAGGGCTAATTTGGAGGTGTGGAGTTGGATTTCGGGAGGAACACGAGCAGAAGTGTGATTTGTTAGCATGTCATTTAAGTCCCTCAAGGAGTTTGGTGTTTCTGCTGAACGGCTGGGCTCATTTTGCAAGAGATGGATGACTCGTGTTCAGAGGTTTGTGTGCAAAATAGTTATTTGAAATGTGCAAACATTCATATACTTTTTTTGTGAGATTAGTACCACGGTTTTGTCGGGGTTTTTTTTTTTTTTTTTTTTTTCCCTTTGTTTGAAATATTACATATCTGTAGTGTGCGTTGGAAGTCTTAACCTGTTGCAAGTTATTTCTTTTCCTGTGAAGGGCTGTTACTTCACTCTCATTCATAATTTCCAGCGCCTCTACCCCTGTCAGGAACAGTTTGTGTGTTTGATTCTGTGTGAGAGTGAGACAAAGATGCTGTAGTCACAGGTACACTGGTGGGTATTGATTCTCTGTCCCCAAAGCTTTCCCCAGAGGAAGCTGGCAATAATTTGTAAATGATATATTGTTTCAGCTTGCACTTGAGTAAACGCGTGTTTAAACGGTCACACTGCAAAATCATTTGACTTTTTGGTAGGAATTCTGAAAATGCAATACACACTTTTTAAAATTTTTTTATTTATAATACTAAAAACACAGTGTAACCTATTTATTAAATCTTGATTTTGTCTCAGTATGTTTAGGTGAATGTTAAAAAAAATAAGAGATGGTGTAACTTTCTTTTTTTTTTTTCTTTAAAAAAAAAACAAAACTATAAACAGATATACATACATGGTGTATGTGCACCATCTAACAGTTGGCGCCAAGAATATCCTGTCACGTGCTTCTAAATTAAATTACATTAGTGACTTTCTAAACTTCAGCCTCTAGAAGAAAGCAGCATTATGGCTGTTTAAATCTGCCTGAACTACTGGCACTATTGTGACATCGCCTTTTTGCTGGAAGAATAACTCATTGAAGCTGATCATTTGCTCAGGCCCTTTCTGTGCCACTCTAAAATTTGCATTAGATATTTATTGTAGGGATGGGAATTGATAAGAATTTAGCAATTCCACTATCGATATCACTAATTAGATTCCTTATCGATTGTCATCAGGTTCTCTTTGGCTCAGTTGTGAGAGTGAAAACCGTTGCTTGAGCAGCAATAAAGAAATTACATTCATGCAACTTGATTAAATGATGTGGGTCAAATGTTCAAAGAGGTATTTCCTCTTTGTAATCAGTGTTGGAGTCTTTACTCAAAAACGTCATTGTTACACATATTACATAGAACACTTTTCTTAAAAGTAATGCAGTACATTACTTAATTACTCCCGAGAGTAATTTGTTATACTACTGATTACATTACTTTCATGTTACTCAGTGCATTTCAGCTATTTTAATGTTTCATAATCACCATTTAACAATACAAACCTGAGGCTACAACCCCACACACCAATACAAATCTGTAATGAGGGCACATCTCTAAGATTTTTCTCTTAATAGAATACAAAGTGATTCTGCTTTAGAAACGTGAACGGGTAGAAAGGGAGGCTGCTCATGTGCTTGTTGCCTGTTGAAGCTAAGGGTCTGGCAGCTGGGGTAGGTATTCACTCGGCTTTCACTATGGGTTCTTGGCTAGCTTAGCAATAGCATGCTGTTTTGGCAGATGCTTGCAAAGAACCAAAGTTGTGTTAGCAGAATTATGCAGTTATTTCAGTCCTGCATACATTTGTCCACCATTTATCTTGTCCTTTCGTGCAATTTATAAAAAAAAAGAAAAAAAAGATGCATATCCATCCTCTAGACCAGTGGTTCCCAACCTTTTTTGCTGCCCCCCCTTTGTTTTACACGAAAAATGTTTGTGGGGTTTTTTTTTTTGTTTTTTTTTTTTCCCCCCCTGTGTAATAATATTCAACATTGCTATCGATACATTTCTCAAATGCCTCTCTGTGCAAAATGGGTTCAAAAACATAAACAACTGTGGGATACTGTTAGTCTGTGATTTGAACTGGGGGAACAAATCGTGGCAGGATCAGCCTGATATTATTTGGATGTAACTTTACTGTATAAAGAGCTAACATCTCCAAAATGTCAGGAGTAGTTAGTCATTACAAGAAGTGTTTGTGAACTAAAAATCAAGAATGTGGGATACTGTTTGTCCGTGATTTGAAGAGCCCAGCGCGTGCTCCCGACGCAAGGGAAACTAATTCTGTCACAGAGACCTACCTTGGCACTTGTGTAGGTGAAGCCAAAGGGAAGATGTGCTTCATCACATTTTCTAGCATTTGGCTTGGAAGGAAGTTGGTTTGGAAACATATTTGGCGATGCTTCATCTCCAGCTTTCCGTTTGTGTGGGAGCCCCGTCAAAAACCTGTCAATGATGCTAGCAGTGTCCAAGGGTTCTTTTTAGTTTTTTCTTACTGCCCCCCCAGGGGGCGGGCCCCACACTTTGGGAACCTCTGCTCTAGACAGTGTCACTATTGCTTGCAAACAGAAATCAGCTGGTTGTAGTGAGTGTGAGAGCAGATAAGGGGGATCCATGGGAAGAACACACAATTCCAAGAAATGGGACTACTAGGAACCGGTTTTCTGCAAGAACCTGTTCTTAATTCCCATCCCCATTTATCATTATGTGACTCATTCCTTTAAGCTAAGCATGAAAATGAAATGAAATTGTTAGCTGCCAAACCGGACAGTACTTAGATGTGAGTGCAAGTGGTTCTAAACCAGATAATGGTAATTGTTCCTTTACTTATCGTGACCTACTGAAGCAGTATGGTTATGATATTAAATTTGTTTAACCTCTGGCATACACATTACAAAAATTGTTTTTCATTTCTTTCTCTCGTTTTTTTTTTTTTTTCTTTCTTTCTTTCTTTTTCTTCTTAGCAACGGCGGCAGCAGCAGCAAGATGAACGGGTCGCTGGAGCACTTGGACCAGCCAGACCCTGACTCCATCAAGATGTTTGTTGGACAGATCCCCCGCTCCTGGTCAGAAACGGAACTTAAAGAGCTATTTGAGCCCTTTGGAGCCGTGCACCAGATAAACATTCTTCGTGATCGCACTCAGAATCCTCCTCAGAGCAAAGGTACAGTCTGGGTGAAAGGTTCACTTTCAGGAATAATTTGTTCTACTACCTTGCAGGCAAAATTTCTCCTTAGTGATTTAGATTTCAATATAAACGATCTGGCATATAATAATTTTATTTTAATTGAAAACATTGGATTATGTAGCCATCCAGATTATCTTAAAAACCTGTTTTGTTTGTTTTGCCATATGTGAGGAGTGCACCAGTTGCTAGTGGGGAAAACTAGTATAGCATGTAGCATGCTAACAGCAGTCTGCAGGTATTTGAGGCGTGCATTGCAATCTGTTTAAATGAAGTGACACAACTGAAAAGCTCAGATGATACTTTCAGTTTCTCTATTGTTCACTTTCACTCTATATACCATCTCTAATAAGAGATGGACACTAATTAGGTGTGAAACTTTCTGGAAAACCTTCATTGCTCATAGATAAAAACAACTTGGTCTCTTAGTTGGTGCAAACCCCCTTCTCTCCTCATCTGCTTTCAGATTTTAGCACTTAGGCAATGCACTGCCTGTCTGCACATGCAGTGCAGCTGTGTTTGTGTTAGATCACCTCATATGCAAGCAGTCTTTTGTTTCAGGGTTAAATAATATCTTTTTTTAAATATTCATATATTCTAAATTTCCTCTTCTTTGTACAATGCAGCTTTAGAAGCAGCATTGTACAAAGGGAGTGTTACTTGACTGCAATTTTCCATTAAGACATCCATCAATGCGCTCACCTTAGAAATGGTGCTCGAGTTGAGCGATTCAGTTTAGGCTGCAATTAGAGGAGACGGTGAAGTGGAAGCCTGCTGTCTGCAGAGAGCTGCAAAGTGCCACTGGAAGTGCTCAGTCTCCCGTAACTAACTGCAGGTGAATAAAGTAACGACAGTTTCCTTGATGTAACTGTCCTGGGTCACCCAAATCTCAGTTCCCTTGATGGTTGGATGATTCGCTGTAGCTAAAGGCGCTAAACCACTCTTGGCTTTTAATGTGGTGGGAATATACTTGATGCTAAGCTTGAGTCTAAAAGGAACCATATTTGTGCTACCAGACACCACCCTGGCAATCCAGGCCAGATGTAGTTGTTGTGAGGTGTTTGTTATGAATCACTGACACTACCTCGCTGATTGTGTGTGTGTGTTGCTGTTAACAAGCCAAAGACAGGTTGACAACAGTTGCACCGTCTGGAGAGATAATTGTCTTTCTGGGATCTCCTTTTCTAGTATTCTTGTAAACATCGGCTGCACAACTGTAATTTAAAAACAAAAAGGTTATATTATCTTGTAATGTGCAGACATTCTGTCTCAATTCGTTGCAGAAGTGGGTTTTTTAATTAATGAGTGTAACTTATCCTGTCTTGTGTTTTTTCTGGGTTCAGAGCAATATAGCAACAAAATAAGCTTGCAGAGCAGGAAAGATGCTAAATAGATGAAAATAAACTTGTGACATGGCATTTATTAGATCTGCACTAAATTCAGACATATCACAATTTCACCATTTGTTCTGAAAGAGCCTTGAGTATCTAACATGGATATCTTTTGACTGGCAACAACTGCAGTGAAATGTGTAACTTTCTACATGTTAGAAATTGCACTTATCACTTTATCTGTTTGTGTTAATTTTTAATTAATTTATTTTTTGAATAGATGTCTTACCTTAAAATATAAATACTATTTAAATTAACAGAAAGGGTGGTTATATTGGTCTGGCTCACTTGAGATCAAATTGGGCTGTACGTGGCCCATTGACTAAAGCGAGTTTCAAACCCTGACTTTATTGTGTCAAGGCCAAAACTGCTGGACGGCATGCCACCAGGAGAGCATTTGAATTCCCATGATAAGGGCCTTGGAACAGATGTACACACTCGTAGGATTATTTAGTGGTGTTACGAGTGTTTACAGGTGTACCAGAAAGTCCCCAGGGTTCTTATAATGGTGTGTGCGCGTGTGTGCGTGTGCGTGTGTGTGCGTGTGCAAATATACACACAACGCTGTGCAGTTCATTTGGGAGGCTGAAGAGTTCAAAGCTCATTATTGTTTAAGCAGCACCCCTCCCCTGCTCTATGCAGTGTCAGCTGTGATGGCCTGTGGACATGTTAATGTATTCTATTAGATAATCAGGCCTGATCACAGGAGGTTTTTCACCCAGCCAAGTGAAGTTGAATGTGTTTTGCAGCAACACCTCTACGCTCAGTTTCACTGTAGGCCTCCTTTCACAGTAGTTTTGTTTCCTACTGCAGTTTCATCAATGACCTACTGATAGTCTGGCTGTTGTTTATTTGCATGCCACACAATGCCATTCTCCAACCAACTCTTATATAATCATGTTGCTTTTGTTTAATTTATTTGTTGAAAGTGCTGTAATCCTACTTCCATTTTTGCTTGTTTACTTTTGTGCAGATCAATTGACAAATCACCAGATTTGCACTATTTCTTTTTTCTTCTTTTTTTTTTTTTTTTTTTTTTTTTTCTTTTCCCCCCCTCTCCTCCCCTCCTAACGCTCTTTTCTTCATTCCCCTCCCCCACAAACTCTCTCCTCCCATGGTTTCTCTTCCTTGCTCTCTCCCACTCCCTCTTGTTTCTTTGTGCTGTTTTCATGCCTCATGTTTATATGTATGCACACATGTATGGGACTGGATTCTTATGTAATGCAGCAATATACTCAATGTAATGTGTTGGCCTGGGCTGAGTTGACCTGCCGACTGCACATCAGTGCCTCCTGACAGCCGTCTAACCCTGTGGTACTCTCTCTGGCTGTGTCACAGCCTTCAGCTGTCTCATTACTCCTTTGTCCTCGCTGCCAGCTCCTACATGGTGTATGTGCACCATCTAACAGTTGGCGCTAAGAATATCCTGTCACGTGCTTCTAAAATATGATATGTGGTGAAAGTACTTTCATCCATTTAGCATCTTTCCTGTTCTGCAGCAGTCATGGTATTACATTTAATGTCTGTGTGCTGTGTTTTTAATGCAGTTTTGTCTCCTCCCTCCCTCCACCCATTGTTTGTCCCTATTTTTTATTTTTTTTTATTTTTTCTTTTCACTCTGCAGGATGCTGTTTTGTAACTTTTTATACAAGAAAAGCTGCACTGGAGGCCCAGAATGCACTGCACAACATAAAGACCTTAAGTGGGGTGAGTAGGCACAGCATGGGCTGCTTTTAGCTGCTTGAGCCCCACTACATCCCCTATGCAGGCTGTGAGCTGTACGCTGGCCGATAATGAGCTCTCGGTTCACTGAACGCCTGTCTAGCCTGAGAAATGTCTCAACCCCCACTATCACTTACGCGACACTTAGGACCGGCCTGAACCTCGGCACACTGAATTGCTAAGCGTGCAGGTATCGGGTAAAGCCTGCTTGACCAGGCTGCAGGTTATTCACTGAGACACAGGACCCGATCGCCACAAAGTGGAACAAATTATTAATGCTTGTATTCATGAATTATTGATGCACATCTACATTTTTATTCCCCAAAATTAGAAGCAGGAAAGGAGCTGAAGGCAAGTTGAAGGCTTTCTTTTCGTCCTTTTTTTTTTTTCTTCTCTTTTCTCCCTCTCTCCCCCCCGTTTTAACAATGCAGCCCGGTGAGACAGTGTGGTCCCCTAATACTTAACCCGATCTTCTAGTGAGATTAAAGTCCAGCCAACTGGAATAAGTGCAGTGGCTTGTTAAACATCCACAAAACTGTCTTGTCTATACGTCATTCTGTATTGCCAGCTTTCCAATCAATTTAATCTATACCCAACAACCCCAGCTGTCGATGAAACCAATAGTCCAGTCTTTCAGTAAAAAGAGCTACTGTCAGTGCGCTTGCAGGTAAATATTGAACCGAGCTGATAAATGAGTCTCACAGGCTGAGAATAATGTCCTAGCTCTCTTCTCTGGAAGACTATCAATCAGGCAGACATTTCAAACAAAGTGTGGTCTAACGGCTCAGCTCTCAAATCCCATTCCTGGGTCCTACTGTTACTGGCATTGACTGCAGTTGACTGATTTTTGATTTGCGTGATAGAGGAAAAGCTTGTTTCCCTGTTTGTTTTCTCTCCCTTCTGTGCCTCTCTGTACTTGGTCAGTGACGCTAGCCAGTCCCCACACTGAGCAGGCCATCTGTCTGCTTCTCCTTAGTGCTTGTCAAAAACAAACCCACCACTTTTCATAAGTACAACCTGCTCAGACATCTCATGGCTAGATTTATTTCTTCTTTCACATCACATGGCATGCAGTGTGCTATAGATGTAGTCACTTGAAGTTCAGTCTTCTTGGAGAAAATTGTTCATTAAGTGGCATGAAATGACAGCATTTGCTCTGCCTCCACTTTCTCACATAACAAGCTTGAGAACAAGCGTCATGTTCAGAGATGTTATGCTGACTGAAATGAGATTTTTCACAGCTCAGATTTGCCACACCTTGTTCTATTTGTATGTGATCCAATTGTGTATTGGGTGTTGACAGACTTGTATCTGGAGGAAGGGGAAAAAGAAACAAAACCTGAAGCTCACTGTACATTTCGAAAGCAATACCAAAGAAGCTTGCTTGTCAAACAGAGTTCTTCTATAGAAGATGAGGGATGTTGTCAGTAGCAATCGATAAGTTCAATCGCGAGTCTACATTACAGCGAGAAGTGAAATTGGATACCGGAGAATTTGATCCCTTACCAGCAACTCTTAGACACTTCCTCCTGAATCTGGCGGCGGTGAGGGATGATGGTCTTACAGCAAAAGAACAAAACAAGAGATGGGGAGAAATGCTCGAAGATGGAAGGATGAGTGAAGACATGAGGCCTTTATGATGAGAGATAACAGAGTTTATAATGGTGACAGATGTGAATGGTTTCCCTACATTTTATTTTTTTTTTTCCCCCCTAGATGCATCATCCTATCCAGATGAAACCCGCTGACAGTGAGAAAACAAGTGGTAAGTGGATTCATGCAGGATGACGTAAGCCATGAGATGGAGATGTTGAGGAAAACCTGTAAGGAGAAGGATTAGGTAAAGGCAAATGGGGTGTGAGATTTGAAAAGGGTAAAATTGACAGCAGTACACAGCATCTATATAGTGCAGTGGTTTAAGAGCAGAGCTGGTACAGGATGATATACTTCTGTGTCTAGAGAAGTAGACAGAAGGAAAACAAAGCGGCAAGTCGCAGAGATTTGTGCAAAAGGCTGGCACTCTGAGTGAGAGGCAGAAAATGTGGCAGCATGACAAAGAGAGAGCGCTTGCTTGAACAAGAAAGAGAGGGGTGCAAGATTTTCGCACCTGATGTAACTGCTGCTTTCACAGCGCCATAATTGTTTGGGTTTCACTAAATAGCCTTCCTGTTTTCGTCTTCCTGCAGCGGTAGAAGACAGAAAACTCTTTGTCGGCATGGTTTCAAAGAAATACGGTGAGAACGAGGTCAGAATGATGTTCTCGTCTTTCGGACAGATCGAAGAGTGCCGAATACTTCGGGGACCGGATGGTCAGAGCAGAGGTAAGCGTGCCTTCGGTGTGGACATGATGTTCAGCACCGCGCATCCGCCATGTTCAGCACACCAGAGTACATATTCTCATCAAGTATTTATGCAGGGCCCCTCCCTGATTCTTCATTGCAACCCCCGGCACCCTCAGATCAAGTGCTATTCACCTCCAGTGGCACTTTTTCTGTCCACATAGTGTATCCTCCCATTACTGTGACACTCTGCCTCCACAACTCGCAGTGAAGGGCCACTGCACTTGCTGTCCGCCACAATGGCCCGTCGCCTAGGCAACCGCTGGCTGCCGGTGTTCGTAGGCTCAGCTGGCAGGCGGCTCAGCTCAGCTCCTCCTTTACCGCCTCCTTCATCACACTCTACAAAGGCTGGAATTAGCCTGTCATCGCATCTCCTACATAGCACTCTGCTGAATAAAGCCTCAGATAGCAGGCAGCACGAGGCTCTAGCGTCGATGCTTATATACGATTAAATCCCACAGAAGACACGGCTAGCTATGAATTTCTGCTCTTTTTCTAGTATACGTACGCAGTGTTCCTACAATTTGAAACGGGCCCTATTAGCCTTTGATGTTTGCAGGCCTTGCATATTTTAGTAAATCAAAGCCTTTCAGTGTGTATTTATGTGTGCATTTTCTGTGTATATAATCACGTTGACTGTCTCACCATGACATCACGTAGTCGAGCCTCTCTGGGTGGCAATTTAATCTGTCGATCACCGCTCATGTGACACGTGTTACTGTTCTCCTTGTTGTGTTCTTTCTTCATGTGCTAACCAGTGAGGGTGGTTCTGTGTGCTTGGGAGTTGCCATTCTCTGTACTGTAATGTCTTTTTTTGGGGTTCATAACGAGTTGTCCAAACCTTTTGTCTTGTTTTTGTTTCTTCTTGTCCCTCCCCCCCCCCTCCCCCTCTCCTATTGTTTCCCCCCTACAGGCTGTGCGTTTGTCACATTTGCTACCAGGGCAATGGCACAGAATGCAATCAAAACCATGCATCACTCTCAAACTATGGAGGTACTGTACCCCTTAGCACCTATTTCTCATTTCCCTCTCCCCCCCCCTTCCCCATACATTTTGCTGCCCCCTTGTGTTTAAAGATGAGGAACCTGTCCAAGCAGATGGCATCCATTCATCACAAAGCATGAGTCATTTCCAAAACCACTCTTGCTAATTACAAAATTACATTGTCATCTGCAGAATAATTGAATAAAACTCGAAACATTGCCTTTTACATAGCTGCTGAGTTCAGAACTAATAGGACACAAAAAGTGCTGTCATCTTTTATTTTGGGCTGAACTAAATGCATTTCACTTATTGATTCTGATAACAGAGCCTACCCATTAGTGTGCCATTATATTAGTCTGTATTTTGGACTACAGGGGAAAAGAATCTACACTATCAAATATAGGTTATCAGGAAAAAAAATTAGACTGAAACAGCTCCCCTTTTAGACTTCTTAAAAAGTGGGTCTGTGTACTCATATAGCCAATGGAGTCTTTGTGGAAGTAGAGCAGTGGTAATTTGACAGCTAGCAGGTCAGAGGCTCCCCAGTGAAGCATCAGACCAAGTCTAATTAGGAGTCCAACCAAACATAACACTCCTCCTACCAGATTAAACTTTTGGGGGGGGGGGGAGGGGGCAGTAGCAGTGCCACCTATTCTGCCCCCACAATCACGTACTCCCCGATTCTCAGCTGCTGTGGGAGTTGCTGCTGGTGCAGAAGCCATTTTCCCTAACCAGCCTGGTCCCCATCTGGCTCTCAACTCTTAAAATACTTTTGCACCGCATGCCTTGTCCATGCGTCTGTCTGAACATGTGACTGTCTGTTTGCGAGAGTCTCCGTATTGTAATGCATTTTTCTTAATGTCTGACATATCCCTGTTTGAATGTTATTTATTGTTAATGTTGTCCATCTGTTGTCTGCCTATTTGTGGACTCGATTAAACTCTTTAACGTGCTTAAATGATTCACCGTCTGCACCATTGTCCTGTGCTTTTATTTATTTGGAATGTGGCCTGGTTTAGCTATGCATGGCACATGTCCTCTCTTTTAGCTTTGATATGAATGCAACAGGCATACAACTATCTTGAGGCACAGAGGAACCAAACCCACCCCAATCCCCCCCCCTTTTAAAACAAAACAAAACAAAAAAAAAGAATTCAAAAAAATCCCTATGCAGTGACTGTCCTTGCATGGGTAAATAAACTTGGTGTGCTTTCGAACCGGTCTAACGTCTCTTAACTCTTCACCGCTCCAGGGCTGTTCCTCACCTCTGGTGGTGAAGTTTGCCGACACACAGAGAGATAAGGAGCAGCGGCGCCTGCAGCAGCAGCTAGTACAGCAGATTCAGCAGCTCAACAGCGCCTCCACCTGGGGAAACCTGGCTGGGCTGGGGACTCTTTCACCGCAGTACCTGGCTGTGAGTTTTATTAAAGAACACACAGATTAGCCTTAATGTACTAAAACCTTTATAGTTTATCTGTTGAAATATATTGAGTATACAGAATACACTTGGTAGAGAGCACTGAACCACCTGATAATTATCAATCGATCCCGTTGGTGGGTGAGTGGGTGTGTGGGCGTGCATGTAAGAATTTTATCACTAAGCTTTATGAATGTGTTCCTGTGTCAGGATATTAAGGTCAGGTGATTTTTTTTTTTTTTTTTTGCTAAGTTTTGGTAATGACTGTTCTAGCTGGAAACACAGCTGCCATTTTGTGTATGACATATCCAACCATATTGTTCTAAGTAATAAAATAATCTGTTGCAAGTTGAAAATGTATAAGGTCATTGTGTAAGCTGAATATTGCACAATACTTTGACCAAAAGTACAAACTGAAACTTGGCTCAGAGTAGAATAATCTTCCTCCTCGAACTGTTTTCTGGCTAAAGGACACTGACATGTGACTTGCATATGCCTTCTCTAATTCAGAGCCAAAGAACATGTGACTTAGATGGCAACAGCTGAGGCGTTTTATGTTTCTGGGACAAAAATGAGACATTGAGCCTGTTGCATGAAGCTGTAAAAGCTGTCGTGCCGTTTATTTAATTTAAACCTCACATAACTTTTTGCCTTCTGGTCAAAATGTGTTGCCTCTTGCTAACATTGTCAAAATAGTGACATGGAGTATAAATCTTGGTCCCAAGTTGTTCCTGTGCATCAGATAATTTTCCACAGATTAGACAAACAGTGAATAGTTTGCTACGGGCCATTCGATCCCTATACAACCGTTGCAAGAGCTTGGTTCGCATTGCCGGCAATAAGTCGGACTCGTTCCTGGTGGGTGATGGGCTCCGCCAGGGCTGCCCTTTGTCTCCGGTTCTGTTCATAATTTTTATGGACAGGATTTCTAGGCGCAGCCAAGTGGCGGAGGGCTTTCGCTTTGGTGGCCTCAGAATCTCATCTCTGATTTTTGCGGATGATGTGGTTCTGTTGGCTTCATCGGGTGAGGGCCTCCAGCTCGCACTGGAACGGTTCGCAGCCGAGTGTGAAGCAGCGGGAATGAGGATCAGCACCTCCAAATCTGAGGCCATGGTTCTCAGCCGGAAAAGGGTGGAGTGCCCACTCCGGGTCGGGGATGAGTTCCTGCCCCAAGTGGAGGAGTTCAAGTATCTCGGGGTCTTGTTCGCGAGTGATGGGAGAAGGGAGCCGGAGATCGACAGACGGATTGGGGCTGCAGCTGCAGTAATGCGGACGCTGCACCGGTCCGTCGTGGTGAAGAGGGAGCTGAGTGTAAAAGCGAAGCTCTCAATTTACCGGTCGATCTACGTCCCTACCCTCACCTATGGCCACGAGCTGTGGGTAGTGACCGAAAGAACGAGATCGCACAAGCGGCAGAAATGAGCTTCCTCCGAAGGGTGGCTGGCCTCTCCCTTAGAGATAGGGTGAGAAGTTCGGCCATCCGGGAGGGGCTCAGAGTAGAGCAGCTGCTGCTCCACATCGAAAGGAGCCAGCTGAGGTGGTTCGGGCATCTGACAAGGATGCCCCCTGGGCGCCTCCTGGGTGAGGTGTTCCAGGCATGTCCCACCGGGAGGAGGCCCCGGGGCAGACCCAGGACACGCTGGAGAGATTATATCTCTCGGCTGGCCTGGGAACGCCTTGGTATTCCCCCGGATAAGCTGGAGGAGGTGGCTGGGGAGAGGGAGGTCTGGGCCTCTTTGCTTAGGCTGCTGCCCCCGCGACCCGGCCTCGGATAAAGCGGATGAAGATGGATGGATGATAGTTTAGTTTTAGTCCCCAAATTTAAAGAGGATTTAATAATGTTAGGAAAAAATAATATTAATTATCATGTCTGATCTAATTTTGTTTTCTAGATTTGACTTTTGTTTTCTTTCATATCTTGACAGCTGCTCCAGCAGGCCACTTCTCTCAGTAACCAAGGCAGTCTCAATGGTATTCAAAGGCTAGGAGGTGAGTTTCAGAAGATCAGTTTACCAGTCGTAGGATGCAAAAAGACAAGCTGTTAGGGCTGGGCGATATGGCCTAAAATTCATATCGCGATATAATTTGAAGCATGTGCGGTAACGATATATATCACGATATATTCTTTTCTTCTGTATAACGTATTTTCCACACTATAAAGACACACTTAAAATCCTTTAATTTTCTCAAAAATCGAGAGTGTGCCTTATGTATGAATTCTGGTTGTGCTTACTGACCTCGAACCGATTTTGGCGTGCAGAAATCTGTTAAAAAATGTTTTAGTACAACTTTGGTAAGCCGCACTGCTTGATGGATTGTCAGAGCATTACGGCTGCCGTAGTGAGGAGCTTCGCGGAGTAATCTGGGTCCAAAACTCCGTCCGCTTCAGGTCCCAAAGTCAAACGAACACTGAGTTAAAAACGGTCTAAATTCTTTCATCTTTAATTAAATCATCAGCGTTGCTGCTTTATCGGGTGTAACAATTAAGTTTAACATCCAGGCATCTATGAAAACAGAATTTATTAATTTTAACAGAGTTAGAAGTTAGCAGGAAGTTAGCTCGCTAGTTTCCACCTAAACATGACATGCCATGTTCTGACTGAGAGATTTTTTTTTTAACTAATTAAAACGTACAGCTCTGCTACCACTTCCAACATAAATGAAGACAGAAAACTAAACAGGAGTGGCGTTTGCAGGGTTACTGAAGTTGGACTACCTGGTATATAATGTTCTGCTATGTGATTGCTAGCGACACAGCTATGTTAGCATAACATTAGCACAGTGAAGCTGGAGGATGAACGCCAACTTTTTTTTTCTCCACTCGATAAAAGTTAACGTGACGGATTCTGGTGGTTAGAGACAAATGCAATCGCATAGCGGGATGCTATACACGGGCCAAACTTCAGTCAGGAGAACAATTGAGATTATTCATCCACAATACAAGGTTAGTTATTAATATACTGCAACAACATGGGAATAGAACAGCTGCGAGAGAATTCAACATTAATGAATCGACGTTACGGAAGTGGAGGAAGCGCAGTTTTTGGCTTTCCCCATATTTCAAAAGTGCTTCATCTCTTTGCTATGACTGTCGCCCGCCATAATTTGCAGATGATAATGGTTTTAGCCACTGCGATGCTTTCGACCAAAACAGGCGCAGCTTGATGACATAATCATCAACATGCGCAATCGTGATAGAGCGATATAGTCAAAATCTCTATTGTTGGCCAAATTTATATTGTTTCTATCGCCCACCCCTACAAGCTGTGCTGCTCATGTCACCAGCCCTCTGTCTCGCTGCGCTTCGCCCACATGCTTTTAAGTACCTTAAATTACATTACTCTTTTCAGATCAGTGGCACGCTAATTACCAATAATGCTATTTTCGGCCTATTCCGGCTGCTTGAAGACAAACTGCTCATCCCTCTGCCTTGGTCATATTAAAAGCCAATGTGAAGAGCTTGAAAACTACAGATGGGGTGCTAAAATGAATGATAAATCTTCAAGTTGGAATTCATATTAGATGGATTTGATAGATCAAGTCTGCTTCTTTTGTTGGTCATGCTAAAGTAATATACTGTATTTAAAATGTTAAAATAGCTTCCCGATCCAGGTTTAAGTGGCTTGAATTTGCACTCTCCCTCGTGACCAGTGGGGGGCGACTTCTCTTGTCAATTTATTGTGCCAGCATTCAAAAAGCAAGGTGGTTTTTTTTTGTTTTTTTTTTAATAAATGTGGCCCTACCCTGTAATTGACAAGTAGCCACTGTATGAGGATGACATTTGTCACTAAGTCAGAGCCATCCTGGTTTTAAATCTCCAAAATGGTAAATGGAAGAAAAATATGAGGGTTTTACAGCCGTGTCCATCTTGCATTCTCTGAGATCTGAGAATGTGATTTGGTGATGGTAAATTTCCCAATATCCAAGCAGTTTAATATAGAGGAAAGCTTTTAAATGAATGGCAGCACATCCTATTTTAAACTTTAAAAATTCATTGTTTGTTCTTTTGCTTTTAAAATCTATGTATTTCTTCCATGACTACTTTCAAATTTATGCTGTATGCAGAAAAATTCAGTCTTTGATAATTCGCATGTCTTTGTACTCTCAGCGGGTGTGAATCCACTTCAGCTGCAGAACCTGGCCACATTAGCTGCCGCTGCAGCTGCAGCTCAGAGTTCTGCCAGCCCAACTTCCACCAGCGCTCTGTCTACCAGCAGCGGTGCCCTGGGAGCTCTTGCCAGTCCAGGTAATTAAACACAAACATGAGATGAATTTTGAATGCTGCCTGTACAATACATACAACAGTTCTGTGAGTCAAGCCCCATGGCAGCATCATGACTAGTTAGTTTTGTTAGGGGTGTGTTTTGGCATGGCCTGGCTGTAATTGCTTGAGTCACCACCTCTGCTCTTTGTGTACTAATTCATGTATAATATATTAACTAAGGTATAACGATTCACTCTCTCACTGATTGAGATGTACAGTGCATGTCCACAGTCGGGCCGCTTCTCCTCTGCAAATCTCCCTCATCTACTATTTGCCTAACAGCCCTCAGCCATTCCTCATTTACTTTATGGGAGTTAATCACCCACATATAAAAATTTTATGAGAGCCCCCATTTCCCTTCAATCTGTGTAAATATACATTGGCTCCATCTGTCTAAGTTTAACATATGGCTGCTTTGGTAATGACCGCTCCTCTCTGTGAGACAGATTTTTAACTGCCTCATCTCTCCCATGTCCTCCTCTATAACCATAACAATGTGAGGCAGATGTAAGGTTTTAAGAAAATCTTTTTTTTTTTTTTTGTCATTTGTCAACAGTTGGGTCAACAGCAGGGTCCAGTGCTGCCGCTGCCGTGAACCCCTTGGCATCTCTGGGGACTCTGCAAGGTCTCACTGGGACCTCTGTGGGCCTCAACAACCTTAACGCTCTCACCAGCAGCGTCAGTGGTGAGAATCTTCTTATTTAAAAACTGGATACAAGCCAAAAAAAGGAAGATGCATGTTGACGTTGGGTCCCCATGCTCAATGGGTACTATTAAACTTTTGCTTCTTACAGGTATGGGGGCCATGAACGGGGGTCTGGGAGCCTCCATGGCCAACGGGTCAGCAGCCAGCTCTATGGATGCCCTAACCCAGGCCTACTCAGGGATGCAGCAGTACACAGCGTCTGCCCTGCCCGCCCTCTACAGCCAGTCTCTCCTTCAGCAGAGTGTGGCTGGCAGTCAGAAGGAAGGTGAGAAGATCCCTGGCACACATCACTCAATAAGAATTTTCAGAAGTTTCTTCCTAAATGCAATGAACTTTTGTTTACAGTAAATGTTTTGTGTGCATTTGAATTCACGTCTAACTAGAGTATCTGAATTTCTTACCAAATGGAGTAGGGCCAGAGGGCGCCAACCTGTTCATCTATCACCTGCCCCAGGAGTGTGGGGACCAGGATCTTCTGCAGATGTTCATGCCTTTTGGAAATGTGGTCTCTGCCAAAGTTTTCATTGACAAACAGACCAATCTGAGCAAGTGCTTTGGTAAGTGTGGTGACACTGCTGGCGTTTCCCTGGTTACATCAGTTAATGGCATAGCAGCTTTGTTTCACTGCAGATTTAAAGTTTAAATGGAGTCTAAGTGATCTGTAAAGATGAACATGTTGATACTTGTATTTTCTATGTAAATGGATTAGATGCATGCATGTATGTATGACCGGAGGTGGTATTAAATATCATTTGCATTAGTGTTTTACTGAGTGCAAGCAGTACACCAGTATTGTGATGTAACACCACCTCAAATGCAAATTTAAAGCAGTGAGTGAAAATGGTGCAAAAATTGAAGAGGAGTATGTAATAATGCACATGCTTTTGTGCATTACGTTAACATGGCTAAGTCGCAGTTCACTATCCAAGTGCTAGAATAAAGGTAACTCTGACTGTAGTTGAGGGAAGCTGAATAGTTTTATGGCCTTGGGGACAGAAGATTGTCAGAGCAGGTTTGAGACGGCAGTCTGTTGGACATGCTGCTCCTCCTGCCCTCTAAATCTCAGATTCACAAGGCAGTATTTATAGTTGTGACCCTTCTCTCTGACATTAACTGGCAGAGAGAAAAATAAGAGCCAGCTTTCCTCTGCAGCCTGTCCAGCCACATGGTGTCCAAATATGTGTAAAACTGATGAATGTCATCTTGTTTAATTTCCCCTTAAAACCAAAATAAATTACACAATACACTTTTGAGGTATAAATTACAAAAACACCCAATGCAGCAAATATGATTCACCTTTAAACTTTGATATGGAAATTATTTTGTACATTTTGTCAGAAGGTTCACTAAACACTCAGTTTAGCTAAAATTAGATTTTTCTGGCAGATATTTCATGGTTTGTGCTTTTAAAGGGAAAGATTGCAACCTCTCCAGTCACTTCCTCATCCTGTGGATGGACTCCAGCTTTCCTGTTGTGAACTGCAGGTAGTGACTGCAGTCCTTGTTTTGCTCTGCTGTCCGTTTGATATAGAGGCACGTGAACCAGTACTCCACCTGCTGGAGGTTCTGGTTAGTGGCTCTTAAACTTTTAGTGGATTTCTAGAGCAGAAAAAGAACTACATTCACCATGTGCAATCCATGATGGTGAAGATGGAGTCTGTCTGGCTACAGGAAGGCAGATGCCAAGGAGAGGGGGTGATGGTCAGCCTGGTGATATGGAAATGAAATGTTGGCATTAAGTTGCTGTTTTGTAATGTATTCAGTTTAGTTTTTCTTTTTTCTCAGGGTTCGTCAGCTATGACAATCCTGTGTCTGCACAAGCTGCCATCCAGGCCATGAATGGTTTCCAGATTGGCATGAAGAGGCTGAAGGTTCAGCTGAAACGCTCCAAGAACGACAGCAAACCCTACTGATCCTACCCCCGGGGCCTTCCCCCTCCCCAGCTCTAAAGCTAGCACTGCTAGGGTAAGTTCACCCTCCAGCCAAGGTCACCACAGCAGAGACTCAGTGGGGCAAGGGGACAGAAGCCCATCACAGGAGGGAGACTCGGCCTATTCCTTAAAAAAGAAAAAAAAAATGTTTGCAATGATCTTTCCACATTTTTGCTGTATTTCATTCCTGCGGTTTTGTCATGTAATTTGAGTCTGATTTAGTATTTTAATGTATATGATTATTTATGACTATCACTGGAGTCGGTGTTCGCTGGAGGTATTTTGTGTCACTGTATTTAGTGGAGAGCATCAGATGTTTCCATGCCATTTCATTGCCTTCAGGTCAAGCTAGACAGGTTGACTAAGGATCAGTTGTTGTTTCTGAAGCTAGGTCACAAGGACCCCCGAGCCCAGAGCTTTAGCCTGTGTTTGGCTGTTTACGTGCAGTTTGTCTCATCCGTATCATTGTCAATGTGAAACTCTTTTTCTACTCTAGATTTTCCAGTCTTCACCACACCTCTCTTGTACCCCCTCCCCTCTGTTTCTCTCTCTGTCATCTTTCATTATCTAAGCCATGTTGAGCTAGGCTACCTCTCTGCGTCTTTATTAACAACCTCTTCCAGTCATTCCATCCATCCTCCAAGTCTCCCACAAGGGACTGGCTCTAGATGGATCTCTTTGGGTGCCAAGTATACAGTTTGTGCATGTTGGAGTCTCTGCCATATGTCCTGGTGGTGTCACTTCCTTAAATCTGTGTATTATTGTTTTGTTTTTTGTGCGTTGGGAGAGGGGGGGAGGGTTGCCCCTCCCCCCTGTTGTCCTTACTGTATATGTGGTGACTGGCATTATTTTTGTTTTTTGTGCCTCATGGCTAAATGATTCTTGTGCTGTGCCCCTAACTTTCTCTTCTCTCCTCTTTGTCCTCTCTCTTTCTCTCTCTCCTCTCTTCCTTTTGTGTTTTTGTTCCTTTTTAGAACAAATCTCCATGCCTGTTTGCTCATCATTAGCCTAGCATGTCTTCATGATGTTGAAAGCCAAGCCAAACTCCTGGCCCACATCATCCCACCATTGTCTGTGATGTCTCTCTAAGCTCGCCTGACCAATACCTGGCCACCCACTGACCTTGACCTTAGCTCAACCTGATTTTTCTGCATGTATATTGATTTTTGTTTTCGTTTGCTTTTTCTGTATAGAAATGTGACTGGTGGGAGAGAGGTCAAGCAAATCAATGTGAAAACTTTACCTAGGTTAAGTTCATTTGAGTGACCTGTTTTTTGTTTTTGTTTTTTTGCGAATGTTTTAAAAAGAAAAAACCTGTGGGATTTCTTACTTTTAATTTAGCTTTGTGGGACTTTTTTTTTTTTTAATGTTTTTTCTTTTTACCTCTCTCAGTAAAGCTCACTTGAAAGTTGAATACAGGGATTGGCACACAGCTGTGCTATTTGGTGCCATTAGCAATATGTTGGCTTCTTAAAAAAAATGCTACAGACCACTTTCCAACACTTTTGAAAGTCTGACCATTAAAATCCCTCTCAGTGCTCTGTAATGATCTCTACATTTTGCAGGCAGCGTGAAGATTTACACCAAGGCTATTTAAAAAAGAAAAAGAAAAATTCATTTATAAAAATATCCAGTGTTTTTCTTTTTCTTTGATTTCCTTTTGGGTTTTTTGTTTTTGAACTATTGATGGCACAATAAAAGGTACATTGCTCTGTTGAGAGAAATGACTACCTACATGAGTCAACTTTTTTAGAACTGATTCACAAATAGACAATCTGTGGTTTAAATGCACACTTAGATTAACTATATTTTATACCATTGAATCTATAGAAGTTTAACTAACAGAACCCAGGCAAACGTTGGGTTTTTTGTAGATTACGTTGTAATGTCATCTGTGTTTGGGCAGGGAGGGGGGGCAGGGGCGGGAGGGGTCTTCAGTGTACTACATTTTTAAAGAGGACTAAAAATCTGTTTGATCAGCATGACCATTTGAGGGTCATTTCTAGTAAATTAAAAAGTTCAAAATTCCTCTGCTTTAATTGTAATTTTGTTTTCTGGTTTAAATTTCTTTTCTTTTTTTTTTTTTTTTTTTTTCTTTATATCCCTGCTAAACTTGCATGGTACGTACATCTTGTCAACTTTCTGTGAATTTCTCTTTGCTAATTTAATTAATGAATTTTTCACTTTGGTTTTGTTTGGATGCCTCGTTGAGAGATGATTTACAATGTCTGTTGATCATACAGATGCCAGACAATGTTATTCTGTTGGATTTTGTTGTTGAAGTGCCCATGTGTCAAATATTTCTTGCGCTTTTTTTTTTTTTTTTTTTTAAACTCACCACTTTGTTTGCTGTAATATTACCTAGTTTGTCTGTACACACACACACACACGCTGCAACACATGCAAACACACACAAACACTCTTTTGTGGTTGCAAATGTGGGAGCCCCTGAAGAGGAGATAACTCGGACACAACACGCAACCTGTGGGTCTCTGCACGTTTTGTTTTTCTTTCCTCTTTCTTTTAAAAACATGCACTCGTGTGATGCTCAAGAAGTCACACAGCACATTAAATCGACTTAATCCACCACAGTAGTGTTGGTTTACAAATAACATTCCATTTTTCTCAGCACGGAAGTTTACACTTTTTTATCAGGGTGGCATTTTTGTGTGACGACCCTGGTAAAACAACCACTTCACCCTCCCGTTCCCCCAAAGAAAGGGTTCCCTAAAACTGCGTACCTGATGGCGCTAAAGAGTTGTCAGCTCAGGGCTCTTTGTTTCCTTTTTTTTTTTCTTTTTTGTGTGTGTGTGTGTGCTTGTGGGGGGGGAACTAGACACTGACGCAGGATTACCACACAAAATGCACTGTTAACCACCATTTGACTTTCTTTTCAGTTGGGATTTTTCCCCTTTTACTCTAAACTTAAATATTCCTAAACAAAAGGAAGGTACCAAATTTGAACCGGTGCTGGGGGGGGGAAGTGTTATAGTTTTGTAAGGAGATGTTAAGCACAATTGTGGGAGCTAATCACTTTTGCAGAATGTCGTGTGTATGTGTGGTTACGATCCCAAATTTTTCCAAGGTACCACTGATTTCTCTTTTAATATGGGCATGTGCTTTTTACAGTATTTGTTTTGTTTTCTATCCAAATGCAATACAATATTCAAAGTGCCATATATACGTCTAGAAACTGCCTACACATTATTAGGCCTTGGTTTAGAGATTGCTGCAGTTCGCCTTTCTATTTTGTTTTGGGTTTCTTTGTTTTTTTTTCTTTTGGGTCTATTTATGCCAGTGTCATGAAAGCTCTTGTCACCTGCTAATGTCTCCCCTTTGCCTTTACTGTGTTGAGTTATTGGTAAATGTGTATTGTGATGTACTCAATTTGAACAGTTGGTTTAAAACGTTGTAGATAAACAATAAACTTCCCTATACATTTGAAGGTTAAACGTCTTTCTTAGTGAGTGCGAGCGCGTGTGACACTTGGCGATACAAACCGTGGAGGATCATGCGTGTTTTGGTGGTGGTGGGATATTTTGGAATTTTAATAAAACAGAGGTACAGTGCAGAAGAGTCAATGTGGGTGCCATGTGTCGGCCACTGAAATGACTGCAGGTCTGTGGTGATGCAGTGCATGGTGAAGTGTTACTATGAGTGAATATAGTTTAAAAAACTTAAAAAAGGGGGGGGGGAATAAAGCACAATGTATAGTCCACAGCAGTCCCAACAGGAACTCTACTCACTTCAGGGGCTTCCATCACAAATCCTGATTAAGCTCTAACAATCACGGTTTCTTCTGTTGGTTTTCATATTCTGAAGTGCTTTTTTCTTTTTTGACAGTGTGGTAGCTTTGCATCTCTATAGATATTGTCTTGATCTATAAGAAAAAGAGTAGAGAAAAACTTTGTTATTTTTCTTGTCTGATAATCGGTAGGACTCTGTTCATGTTCCACCAATAATTTAATAGATGTTTTTTGTCTTGTCTTGATGAAAGCCAAAGTGAGTGCATCTTGATGTAATCTGTATTATACACACAGTACAGTTATATATAAATATATATTTTTCGTTCTGTTCAATTACAAATTTTTGAAACTGGGTGGGATTTGAAAAAGACAAAAAAAGACATACACAGGCTGTCCAATTTCTACAACTGGTGGTTCATATGTATTTTGTACCCGTGAAGCTTTTTATATTGGAAATTAAAGGAAAAAAAAATCTATATTGGGGGGGGGAAAAATTGTCTGGCCTATCAATGTGGCCTTGCCTTGACCAGGTCTTGAGTCTGGCCTCTTGCTGGTGTCAAGCAATTTTTTTTTTTCCCTTCTCTCTTGCTTTTGCCACTAAATGATGCCTGATTTTTGATCTTCTTTATCCCCCTTGGATCTCTGTGTCCCTCACTTCATGAATCAGTTTCAGGGGAGGGGGTGGGGTTAGGATCCTCTAAATTGTGGTAAGTTTCATGTTAGTATATTTGTGCTGTCCACATACTTTAATGGTCATCAGGATTTTTGACAACTTGTGTGGATAATTGTCTTAGTTGAAAAGGTAACTGTTTAATTTGAGCCTTGCTTTTTACCTGTGTGTAGTTTTGTTCTTTCCCATAGTGGAGTGCGTAGCTGAAAGACTGTTCTGTTTTTGTTTTCTTTTTCTTTTTTTTTTCTTTTTTTGGGTCGATGTTTGTTTGTGTGGTGTGTTTCTTTGCCTCTGTCTCCGAATTAAACCATTTCCCCCTAATATGGACTGTGTGTCTTTGTGTGTTGTGCTTGTCCAGTGTTGTAAAGGCATTGTACAAACCTCCACCCACCCTTCCCCAGTGTGTCATGTCTCGCTAACTTGTTCTCTTTGTTGTGCTTCTTTCTGCTTTTACCTGAGCTGTAACAGGTGGGGTGGGCAGGACGAGCCATATCGTATCGTATTGTGTTGGGTTTTATCGGTAAAAGTACTACTGATCTGTGAACCTGCACCCAAGAGCCAAAGAAATGCAGGCACTTTAGTTGCATTTGCACAAAACATCAGTTCAAACTCAGATGTTGTGGTATAAAGAATGAGCAAGTCCCGTTAAACTGATTGTTTTATTATAATTTTTAAAAATGCACAATTGCAGTACATCAATGCGCTCAGTTCTTAAAAGCAAAGATCTGAAGCAGTTTGCCTGAGATAAATGCAAATCTAGTTTTGTCCCCTCTTTTTCAGCTTCTCAAAAGAGGGTTATTTGCTGCTCTGCTTTTATATTGATTTGAAATTAATATACTTTCTCTCCACACAAACATGTCCAGTGTTTACCGAGAGTGGTCCACAAAATAGACTATCCATTGAGAAGCAGTTCCCTGGGTGAAACTGCATTGGAGAATTTCCAGACTGCAATGAAGGGAAGGCAACTGTAGTTCACCCGCCTGTTAGAACAAAGGTATGCAGAAGAGCATCTCTGAATGCACAACACGTCAAACCTTAAAGCAGATGGGGCTGCTACAGAAGACCCTACCAAGGCCCAGTCCTGTTATCTAAGAAACTGATTGTCCAGAAATGGACAATAAAAGACTGGAAAAAATGTTGCCTGGTATGATGAGTCTTAATTTCTGCTGCAACATTCAGATGGTAGGGTCGGAACTTAACATAAACAACATTTAAAAGCATAGATGTCTTCTTCCCCTCTTATGAACAATTCAGGCTGCTGCTACAGTTGGTGTAATTATGTAGGGAAGATTTTCTTGGCACACTTCAGACCTTATTTATTTTTTGCTGATGTTCACTGTGCTTAAATAACCTCTACAGATTCCAGATCTCATTCTGGTACAACTCCTTTTTGATGTCCTGGAACAGGTGCTTGGCATCATGAAAGTTCAGCAGCTGCACAATGTGGTGCTAACATGGACCAAAATCTCTGAGGAATGTTTCCAGCAACTTAAGTCAAGTCTATTGTTGTACTGAGACTGCTCCGAAATCAAATGGGGGTCCAGCCTGGTAGTAGCAAGGTGTACCTAATCAAGTGACCAACAATAGTATGTGATTTGGTGTTCTATTGGACAAAATATCCAATTTGAAGATGAACCCATGGAATTTTCCTGTTTCCTGGTATGTTCTGGTAGTTGAGAAGACAAATACCTGAGGCTAAGTTAAAACATACTGACTTTTTTCTAGAATGTATCTCCTTTTAGTAAATATAAACAAACAACAACAATTGACCACAGACCAAAGCTATTGTTTCTTAAAAAGTCTCATCTCTAAGATTTCCCCCAAATCTATAAAAGGTCACATCTTAAATCCTCCTTTAGTAACAGGACACGTTTATTTCCCAGAGTGTTAGGGAGTGGATTTAGCAGCATTACATTAGCAGTCTAAAGGCATACAAAGAACCTCAAGATCCAACTTGTTCTGTTGCGAAAATAGTGTGAGAGGAGAAACTGGCATCTTTTCCCATGTACAGGCGTTTCCATGTTCTCAGTCATCAAACACACAGGATGTAAGGAAGTAGGATGTGACACGTCACAGTGCTGAGATGTTATGTGACTTAGGTCTTTTCTATTTAACCATGAACTTCTGAGGAGTTTAAAAGTGGAACTTAAGGTAGTACAATAGCGCCACCCAGTGGTGGAGATCCCTCTGCAGAAAATGGCAGGCAGTGAGACGATACATAAAGATGCTTTGGCATTTTGGATTAATACAGAACATAAGGGAAAATTTAATAAGCTTAACACTTTGCAGTTAAAACTTTACATTTTCAATCGTGCTTTGGTTGCGCTTCAGCTATCAGAAAATGTTGGTTCTTCTGTCGTAAAGTAAACCAGGTCTATGAGCTGTTCGAATAATCTGATAGTGCTGGTGAAAAATGTAGGCTGTGTATAAAATGCACTGTTATTAAACTCCAGAGCTCTGGGATCTTTAAATCTGATCACAGTTTATGTGGAAGATCCTGAGGTTTGTGTCCTGGACTAATGAATGGTTGATCAGTCCTTATTAGCCATTATTAATTTAACATTAACACAAAACATCAAAAGTTGCCTGTTACAAACTGCTCGGTGCAGGAAACCTGTGTGTGGGACTTGTGCATGTGTTTCATGCACTCACTGAAATGGGAGTTCGGGTGCTGTTTCATTGTTTGGAGATTCCTACATGATCCATGAAAGACCAGCAGATGTGGGAGTCTGGGCATATGGTGGGAGCACAGGCATCTATTGTTACAGTGTCAAGGCTCACCTTGATCTCTGTCACCACTGGCCCTTAAAACACACAGACATGGCATTACTGTCTCACCGTTTCAAAATTCCCCAAAACCACCATTTTCATTCATTTGACCTCAGAATAGCCTCAGCATATTTAAAAAAATAAAAATGTAGCAACAGTTTGATTTTACCAGTTAATATTTTTAGTTTTAGTGTTGGTGTTTTTAAATAATTTTATGGTTAAATATTTGTCATGGGATATTTAAGAAGGTTAGAACAGCGATTTAAAAATACACTTTATTTTTTCTGACTTAGAACATTATAGACCTTCCAGTCTGTAAATATATGAAATAACTTTTTTTTCACGTGGTGTGGTGACAAATTCGACTGAAAAAACCCAGCAAGTCTTCTATATTTTGTTTTAAGTCGTTTTGTAAGTATTTTTCCCACAAAAGAAAAAAAAATCAAAAATAAAATAATAAATTAATTAAAAAAAACAAACGTTTTTGTTGTTGATTTTTTCCCCACACCTATTTTCTTTCTTTCTTTTTAGTTATTTCAAAGTGTTTTTCATGCCTTAAATGCATGCTTTTATAAATTTTAAGTTCAGTTTCAGTTAATTATAATAATCTTGAGGCAGCACGGTGGATAGCACTGTTGCCGCACAGCAAGAAGGTCCTGAGTTCAATTCCAACACCAGGCCGGGGTCTTTCTGTGTGGAGTTTGCATGTTCTCCCCGTGTTTGCGTGGGTTCCCTCCGGGTACTCCGGCTTCCTCCCACCGTCCAAAGACATGCAGCTTGTGGGGATAGGTTAATTGGAAAATCCAAATTGTCACTAGGTGTGAATGTGAGTGCGAATGGTTGTCTGACCCTGTGTGTTGGCCCTGCGACAGACTGGCGACCTGTCCAGGGTGTACCCTGCCTCTCGCCCTATGACAGCTGGGATAGGCTCCCGCGACCCTGAAAAGGATAAGCGGAAGCGGATGGATGGATAATAATCTTGCTCTCCATTGGTAATTACGATGTTTTAAGAAGTCCCTGAACTCAGCACATACGTCGTCGCTTGGACACCTGTTGCGCTACTTCACTTGCTTCTGAGATTTTTAGCCATCTTAAAGACAACATAGCGCTGGCTCGAAATGTAAAAATGTAACCTCGTGCCCTACAGATTCAAACCTTGTGTTTAAGTAAAATTAAATACCATTTACTCGACTTAAATATCGACCAGTTAAGCTTCAGCCAATCGCCTGCCGATGCGACATCTCCTCCCATTAACGTGTC